TAACATATTAAAATGTCCCAATTTGAGGGGAAGAGTTGGGTCGCTGCTAGGACAGAGCCAGAGATGGTCTGGACACTGGTCCTTTCTAAGGTCCCTCTGGTGTTCCTCACACATTGACTATTGAAATGATCTCTCTTTTCCTCTTACTCCAGCCATAAATTGTTAGGAAGTGCAATATTCTTTCTTTTGGTGAAAAAAAAGTTAAGATGAATGGAAGGGCACAAGATTTGCATTAATGCTGTTACTGATTGAGCAGTAAGCCAACAATATGCTATAAATCCAGTTTGCCACCATACTGCCCACCGAATCTGTAATCACTGCCCTGTAGGATGTGGGAGTGTTGGCCACACAGTGAGCTGACATTTGCGTTTCCACGTTCTGAGCAACAGGTCCCTAAAATAGATGCAGGGCCCTGATGTTACAGGACTTGAGTGAAATGGTGGGATTGCTGAGGTTCCCACAGGCACCCAGCTCTGCCTCAGGAAATGCCTGAGTGTGGGAACTGCCCCTGCGCTCCCTACTTACAGGAGAACCTGGGGATTTGTCCTTCCTGGGAGCAGACCTACAGCTCACCTGACACTGGGGGTGGGGCGCCCGCCTCCAGCACACTACGCCCCAGGAAGGACACCCAGGACACCCTGGGAAACCCAGAGCTATGTGGCCCCAGCCCCTGCTTCAGGGTTTGTGGGTTGTGGCTGGGATGGGGCATCCTAGACCCACCTCCTGTTCAAGTCTCACATTTGATAGATGGGTCGTCCAGGCGGCAGGATGAGGAGGTGCTGACAGAATCAGCAGCAGGAAGGTGGCTCCGGCCAGGCCTCCAGGACAGATGCAGTGGTCGGGACAGTGGCTATCGGTGGGGACGGGGAGTGGTGGATGCTGGAGGGCAGTGTGGTGGTCCTGGACAGCTGTTCATATTCTTCCTGGGCCTCGCAGGTGGTCACATGCGAGTGTCCATTTCGTGATAATTTACGATATTTAGTGCCCTTATTTGTATGTACGATATCCATCGGGGTTTGGAAAACTGCCAGGGCCTGAGTAATGTCCAGGGGGGTAGAGGGAGACCCCCTTGGGGTGTCTCAGCATGGCAAGACCAGGTTTCCCAAGGAGGCCTCAGAGTTGTATTTAATTTGCTTAAAGGAGTAAAGAAACTGGACGTGTCGGACAAAGGGACGAGAATGGTTGGCCTGACATCTGGGGTCTCACAAGTTCTTGGGGAGTGGATTACCCATTTTCAAATATGTGATTTGTAAATATCTTCTTCCATTCTGTGGGTTGCCTTTTTACTCTGTTGATAGTGTCCTTTGATGCACGAAAGTTTTAAATTTTGATGAAGTCCGGTTTGCCTATTTTTTCTTTTGTTTCCTGTGCCTTTGGTATCATATCCAAAAAATCATAGCAAATCCAATATCATGAATATTTTGCACTATGTTTTCTTCTACGAGTTTTATAATTCTAGCTCTGACATTTAGGCCTTTGACCCATTTTGAGTTCATTTTGTATATGCTGATAGGTAAGTTTCCAATTTTATTCTTTTGCATGTGGATATTTAGTTTTTCCAGCACCATTTGTTGAAAAAACTATCCTTTCCCCATTGAATGGTCTTGGCACCCTTGTAAAAAATCATTTGACCATATACGTGAGGATTTAACGCTGGGTCGTCTATTACATCCTATTGGTGTAAATGTCTGTCGTTATGCCAATTCCTCAATGTTTTAATTAGTGTAGCTTTGTAGTAACTTTTAAGATCAAGTGTAGCTTTGTAGGAACTTTTAAAATCAGAAAGTGTGACTTGTCCAACTTTGTTCTTTTTCAAGATTATTTTGGCTATTCTGGGTACTTCAATACCCCATATTAATTTTAGGATTTATATTTATATTTCTGCAAAAAACATTAAATTTTAATTGCATTAAAGCTGTACATGGCTTTTGGTAGTATGGCTATCTTAACAATATTAAGTCTTTCAATCCATGAACATGGGATGTCTTTGCATTTATTTGTGTCTTTAATTTCTTACAGTAATATTTTGTAGTTTTAAGCATACAAGTGTTTTTACTGCTTTGGTTAAATTCATTTCTAAATATTTTATTCTTTTTGATGCTATTATAAATGGAATTGTTTCCTTAATTTCTGCTTTGGATGGTTCATTGATAGTGTATAGAAATGCAACTAATTTTTGTGTGTTGGTTTTGTATCCTGTAAGTTTGCCGAGTTTGTTTATTAGTTCTAACAGTTCATGTATATGTGGGGGGCGGGGAGAGAAAGTTTTTTTTATGTGTAAGATCACATCATTTGCAAATAGATTTTTTTACTTCTTCCTTTCCAATTTGGATGCCTTTTATTTTTTGTCTTGCCCAATTTCTCTGGATAGTATGTAATAGCTTTGCAATGACAAAGTTATAGAAACAGAGAACAGATTTGTGGTTGCCAGTACTTAGGGAAGAAGGGAAAGGAAGGTAGGTGGGTGTGACTAGAAAAGAACAATAGGAATGATCCCTGTGGTCACAAAAATGTTCTGTATCTTGACTATACTACTGCCAATATCCCAGTTGCCATATTAAACTACGCTTTGTGAGATGTTACCATTGGGGAAATGCGTAAAAGGTACGTGAAGTCTCCCTGCGTTATTTCTCACAACTGCATATGAATCTACAGTGATCTCAAAAAGTAATTAATTTAAACATGTTGTCCTTGTATTTTGTATGTTTTTGCTTTTTATTCATTTTATTTTTCTTGAATTTTATTATACTATAACAATATTGGTATGTGATGGACTGAAAATTAAAAGAGGGACCAGTCCTTCTCTACAGGTGGTTTAGAAGTTCTGATTTAGTCCAGTGCTCAGTGAGATAAGAAATGCACGGTAGCTCAGGGAGGTAAATGCGCCACCTGGTACGGTGAGGTGAGGGAAGCGCTAAGGAAGAGAATGAGAAGAAATGCGTCCAGGGGTGGGTTGATTTAGGGAGTCCTACAAACACACCTGCACTCCAATGGGTTGCCCACCAGGAGTCAGGGTTTCATTTCTCCCTTGAGTAGAGGATGTGCTCCTTTAGGAGAGGCCGACTGGTGTCCTGGACAGAACCTGGGCTTCGGAAGTCCCCAGACCTGCCTTCTTACTCCTGCTCAGCTCCTATAAGCTGAACAACCTTGGAAAAGTTACTTAGCCACTCACAGCTATGATATCTTCTTCAATGTCACATTAGTGATGCCTACTGGGTAGGATTGTTGTGGGCATTAAAAGCAAAGTGTCTGGTCCTCCAAAACCTCCAGCGTAACAACTCTGCTATGCAAGGCTCATGCTCTGCAAGGCAAGGCTAGAGACACCAGAAGGTTTATTTGGTCAAAACTACTCATGTTGGATTTTTTTTTTTAATTTTTATGGCTTTTCCCCACTATCAAAACCACACTAATCCAGAAAGTTGGAACAGAAGTTATACTAACATTTCTAATGCTTCCACTTCCTGTGCTTGCAACACAAAGCCATTGCTCAGGAGGCACGTGGAGGAGGTTTGTCCCTTGCAGTCCTGTCTTTATCACCCACTTTGTGACTGTGAGTAATTACTTTCCCTCTTGGACTTCCTTATCTCTGACTAACTGAACTGTGATTTCATCTACAGACATCAAACCGAATCCAGTAAATTCGGTTCAGGAACTCTGAGATAATTCTAAGGAAAAGGGAATTCTTGGCAAGTTGTTGGCTGTTCTGCTAGAGAGAGCTTGGAGTTGGGAGGCTGGACTCCTGTAACAGAATTTGAACTTTTAATTGGGGTCTCTGGTGCCAGAGATAACTGGCTTCCCAGAAACATGCATTTCCAAGGATACGTCTTCTGCTCTTCCTGTAATGAAGGGAATTGGATGTGGGAAGCCTCCATTCCCATTTCACCCTGTCCCGACTTTTGCTCACATCCCCTCCAGACCTATCCTTCCACTTGGCCTTCAGCCTTCAAGCTTCTTGCCACTACATCTTTGCTCAAGTGGTGCATTCTGTCTGGAGTGCCTCTCCCACCTTCTCTGTCCATCAAAGTCCATCCCCTTTCCTAAACACAGCTGGCAGGTTACCAGGTTGAATTAAACCTTCCTCCTCTGGAGGCCTGTGGACTTGCTCATTGACCTAGTGAAGTGCATTTGGTACAAGTGGCCAAGGGCAGGATGGCCTGGTCTGTACCTGACTCTGCCACTCGGGCTTTCCAACTTGGGTCATGTCTGTGCCTCACTCTTCTTATCTGTGAAATGGGGTTAATAATCATGGGTTCCTTGTAAGTTTGTTGTGATCATTAATTGAGTCAATATATGGGAAGTATTTAACACTTGGCACAAGTTAAGCACTAGGCGAGTACGGTTGTCATTATTGCATTTATCTCCTTGTGTTCTAGTTGGTTTTTACCTCTTTGTGCCCCCATCCCACATCCCTAGACCTTTAAGTACCTGAGAGCAGAAGCCATATTCATTTTGTGTTCCCAGTGCAACATACAGGGCTTGGTACATAGGAGGTTCTCCTTGAATGTGGCTGATGAACGGGCAGTCTTGTCCCAGGCCATCAATGTGCTCCCTTCATGATCTAATGGAAATAATAATCCTCAACTGGCTTATCCCTAATGTTCCCATTTGGAGATTACAGGAAAGGCTCCCCTGGTCTTAGAGGGAGGAAGCTCATGATCCCCAGGCACTATACCTAGTCCTTTCCAGTGGAATGTAAATTATTCCATTTAACCTTCTTCTAAATGCTTTGCTTGTCATTGTGCAGGTAAGAAAAAAGCTTCAGAGAAGTTAAGCAACTTGTCCAAGACTACACAGCTATTCAGCAAAGACATAACATTTGAGTCCAGGGCTAGGGGCCCCCAAAGGTAACACTCCTTCCTTGTTAGTCATTGCTTGTAAATTCCCTGGGGGGCAGAGGACATGTCCTGGAGGGGGTGATGGGGTTAGGGATTTTCTAGAACTCTTCTTGCCTCACACATAATGCTGAAGTTCTTCAGAAGAAGGCAGGCAGCATTTTAAAAATGCAATCAGCGTTCAAAGCCCGCTGGGGAACCAGGGAGCCACTGTTTTTGTTCAAGGCAATCACAGAGGCTGGGCTCGCCTAGAATTCACATGGAATCACCGTAGAGAGGGCTGGTGGCTTGGAAGAGGTAGAGAAGGCTGGGGGTCGGATGGGCACAGTGCAAGTGCTTCACACGAGTCCTTTCACTGGTCCCTGGCAGAATGCCTGGGATGGAACACTTTCATTGTGAGTTACGAACAAGGAAAGGGGGGCCCTGAGAGGGAGGGAAGAAATGAGGGCCCGGCCAGGGGATGTGGAGCTGCAGCCAAACCCTCTTGAGCCTGAGCCCAGGCTTCCCCACCACATCCCAGGAGCCCAAGGTGGTGTCCTGAGGGTCCACCTTCTTCAGAATGGCTCTCGCCGCAGCCCAGGTGTGTAACTCTGGGCAAGTGGCCTCGGATCCCACACACTTTCCATCCCCTGGGCACTTGGGTAGGGACAGCTCTGTGGCTGAGCTGGGCAAGGGTGACCACAACCTGCAGACCGCTGGGCACTCAGTTCCTGATCCCAGGATTGCAGGGGCCCCTGCCTGGTGCAGCGAGGCTCCCTGGCTGCTTAAGGCCCACTCCCGTGACCACCGATATCCTGGCTCAGCCTGGAGCCGTGACACTCTGGAGGACGGGACAGCTGTTCCCACTGCGCGTACCCTCCTTCTGGAGCCCAGGCAGCCATTTCCCGCAGGGCTTGCTCCCGTGCAGCTGTGCAGAGCCCACACAGCCCAGGAGGCGGCGCCCCCCGCCCCCGCCCACCCTGGAGGTGCCCCTCACTTACCAGGGTCATGGCCAAGCTGGCCTCTGGCTCTGGGGGCCTGGTGAGCTGGAGCCACCGAGCGCAGCGCTTGCTCTCAGGGCAGCCCACGGCCCCTTCCGCCCCGCTGCAGCGTCCCCCGCTCTACGCTCAGCCCATGCCCCAACCCAGTGGCATCCGGACCCCCGTTGCGCCACCTCCGTGGTCCTCCCCTGCGTCCAGCCCTAGCCCCATCCTCCAGTGCGCCTCTGCCTGCCCCGGCCGCGGCCCAGTTCGCGCAGACCTTGGCCGGCGGGAGCTCCTGTGGACTAGCGCGGTCTCCCTCCCAAGGGCCCCGCCCAGACCCACCACAGGAAGGGGGCCTCGCGGCGGCGCGGGCAGTGACGAGGACAAGGACAGGGACAGGGGAACTGGGACCCAGACCGTGATGCCCGCAGCGGTGGGGGAGGGGCGCGGATTCCTGCCCCTTTGCCCTGTCCCTCGCGCAGTCCCGGTTGACTCTGCCCACCCAGGACCCTGCACATCGCCTCCAAGGTGGTCCCCAGAGGACTGTGAAATGGGGTCGGGGTGTGTATGTGGGGGCAAGGGGCAAGGTGCACACTGGAAAACAGGGGCAGCTGATTTTGGCGGCACTTTAAAAACGCGTTCCTACATATCTTTTCCAACACGCATACGAAGCGCGATTCTCATTTGCATACCCGGGGAGGCGGACTGCGTTGATTTTCCCGTGACGTGCGCCTGCTGCAAGGGCTGAGTTCTACAGTCCCCCTTGCAGCCCCTTCTCCCCGCCCGCTACACGTAAGAGCAGTCTACTAAATGCACTGACAGTTCAGATAACATTAATAGAGGAAAGTTCACCCAGATTCTCATCACCCACATGCTACCAAGGGGAGAAATTTTGCCGCCTCTCCGTTCAGACCTGTTCCTAGGCAGCTGCACTATTCGTTTGTCGTTACTTTTATCCTAAGTGTTTTCCACTGTTGCTGGAGGTCGTGGGCACCGCGATCATTTTTAGTTAAGGCATAAACTTTCAGTGGGTAGAATTTCCATAGTTTCCTTATTTCCCTTCCCTGCATAGCTTGTTTTCACATATTCACTGTTATACTCACGTTACAGAGAAAGCATCACCGTGAAGCTTCACCCACGAGTAATGCCCACTGCTGGACTCACAGTCCCTGAGCGAATCCCAGGCATTGAAAATGCTTTCTCTATTTGTCACCAAACGTAATATCCATTTTACTACTTTTCAGGGCAGTTGGTATTTGCATTGTCTCAGAAGGGAGACATTTCTTTACTCTGATGCTGCGGAGTTGCCAGACAACAGCTGGAACGGGCCGCTTACCTCACCCGAGGCTGGATTTGCCAGAAGCCAGGTTGTTCTAGTTGCCTGTTTGGAAAAGGCAACCTCCGCCCCTGCCCCTGCAGTTGCAGCTTCCTTGCTGTGGCCTCCCTGAGGTCAGGGAGGTGCTGAACCGCACCTGCCCTGCGCTGGCAGTGGAGGGAGATGACCGTCTAGGCCGGAAAGTGTAGCACCCCCGGCCGCAGCCATCTGCTCACCGGGATCCGAGCCCCCCAGAGGGAGACGGGAGTGGAGACAGCAGGAGCAGGCTCACCTGTGAGGCCACCAGAAGGAGATGAGCTGAAACGTGATTTTCAAAAGGGGTTGTGTGCAGGTGGTGAGGGCCTGCTTTGTCTAGAATCTGCAAGCACCGCCCCATAACTCACAGGAAAGTGCTGGTTTCAATTCCACGGTTTATTTTCCAATGTTGTTTCCTTTCAGTTCGAAGGTTTTTCTCATCATTTTCAGTTTTTTAAAAAATGTATTTTGGTTATTGGAGTTTATTTTATTTATGGAGAGAATTCAAATCCGCAGTACATAGCTAACGACAAACAATCCTGAAAATAATTTAGGGAGAGTGGCACCTTGACACTTGGACTTTCCGAGGTATGTAAAAGGCTTACGTCATTAAAGTGCCCTGCTCACACCTCAAGACTCAGCTTGGAACACTGCTGCGTCCGTTTCAGGATGGACAGCGTCTCGGTGTCCTTCCCCTCCTACATCCTTCGTAAGACCCTGTTGAGTCACGTCTTCACGTGGTTCTCGCCCTCCCAGATGCCAGCAGAAACTCATCTGCACGAGCTCACAGCCAGGCGCAAAGGTACCATCAAATGAATATTATTGCTTCCAACTAAAGCGATTGTCTAAAACCTGTCTGCATTCAAACCGTGCTCAATTAAATTGAAATTGATTGAGCAGGTTCTGGGAATGCAAGTGAGCTTAGAGCACGGGGACTGGGCAGGGTGTTCATTCCACACACGGCTTCCTGCAGGCTCTGGCTGGGGAGTGGGTGGGAGGGGTGCAGGGGCCACACCTGAGCATTCGGGTTCTGGGTCCCCCACTTCCCTAGAGGAGGGCAGGAAGCAAATGGGCTTGGTTCAGAGTTCCATCTCCAGCATCTCACTCTGGCAGCTAGTAGGTGTTCACTAAATGAGTGTTGAATGAATGAAGAAACAGACTTCCAAATGTACTGTAGGCAGCTGTGCCACCTCCCAGTACTCACTTCTTGGGTCATGGTCTCCCCAGCAACGTGAACATTCCTTCCTGCCCTGTAAGCTGTCCTCTTTTGCTGCCAAGCACCCCTCCCTGCAGACTAGCTTGGGAGCAGGGTTTTCTTTTGGGAGGGGTTGAGCCCCCAGGAGATAGATTTCCCTAGGATCATTCATCTCTAATCCTGCTACTGAGCTAGATTGCACCTCTGAAGAAAGAAGTTCTTACTAAGAAACATTATTCTGGCTGTATTATTCCTCAAGTGTAGCCCACAAACGTGTTTAGTGTGACTGCTTCACCAGATGGGAAATAATGCATAATTTTCTTTTTTCTCTTTTTAAGCCATGTAATCCCTCATTGTCTCAACTGGATGTAAACAGTTGGGTCTTTAGTGCACTCCCAGGGGCCCCCAGGTAATGCTTAAATTCAGCAACTCGAGTAAGAGGGGCATATTCCAGACCAGGCAGTCCAACCCATGACTCTACACCTTGTCTTCTTGTTTGAAGGATACTAATAATTTACAGAAATAGTAACAAAACAAGTGGCCAAAAAAAAAAAAAAAGTTTTCTGTCATCAGTAGTGCTCTGGAGAGGCCTCTCCCTGCAGTGGGGCCCTGATAGGTGAGTCCAGGCTGTGTGCCCCCTGGAGATCTGCCTTTGTACCCTGCCAGAGTGGCTTTCATAACTGCCCCTGCACATGCTCCTCCTGGCAACTCAGTGGTCCCGGGGCCTCTTCCAGAGGGTCCCTCAGAAACACCTGTAATTTGTTTAAAAATCCAGATTCCTGTGCTCTCTTTAACCCAGCAGGTCTTGACCTTGGGCAATGTATTAGTTTCCCGTGGCTGCTGTAGCAAATTACCACAAATGCAGTGGCTCACAAAACCCCATAGATTTATTACTTTGCAGTTATGCAGATCAGGAGTCCAACAAGGATCTCATGAAGCTCACATCAAGGTGCTGGCAAGGCTGTGTGTTTCCTCTTAGGGCTCTAGGGAATAATCCATTTCCTTGGCTTTTCTGGCTTCCAGAGGCCACCTGCATCCCTTGGCTCGTGGCCCCTTCCTCCATCTTCAAAGCCAACAATGGCACCACTGTGCCCTCTGCTTCCATTGTCTCATCTCCTCTGACCCCTTGGCTTCCTCTTTCACACGTAAGGACCCTTATGACTACACAGGGCCCACACGGAGAGTCCGGGATACTCTCCCCATTGCAAAATCCTTATCTTAGTCACATCCACAAAGTCCCATTGCCACATGCAAGAACATATTTACAGCTTCCAGAGGTTGGGACGGGGACATCTTTGTGGGGCTATGACTCTGCCTTCCACACAGTCTAAAGTTTGTCCAGTGCCTGGGCTACAGTCCCTTCTGTCTACACATTCCCTGCACCTTGGCCTTGGGGCTGGTTTGTTCCCAGCTGGGACTGTGCACCCTCGCCCACCTGTTCTCTGCCTTTAGGGTCTCTCCCAGCTCGGGTGCCCAGCCCAGAACCTTCTCCTGGGGGAGGCTGCCCTGTCCCTTAGGCAGATTTGGCCACCCTCCCTCCCCATCCCTCTTGCTACTGGGCCTGGCGCAGCCTCTCCCAGACCCTGGGCTGGATTCCTTCTTTCCCTTCTCTAGGATCTTCTCTGTGACCCTCCTTGCTTCCCATCTCCCCTCCCTCTCCTCCCTCTCTGTTGGTATTGACACTGTCTTTTCTCCCATGCCCTATTCGGCTCTCTTCCATCTTATGAGCCCTCCTTTGGGGACCACTCTTCCTCTTTGGCCAAGGTTCACTTTCTTGGTGCACGGCGCCACCTCTTAGGAGCCTGACCAGAAAGGCAGAGTGCTCGTTCTCGGTCCCTTCTCAACTCATCCAGCAGACTCCCCAGTTCTGCCTCCTGGTGACGTATCAAATCTACACTGAATTCTCCTGCCTCCATCTGAGTTAAGGTCCTTGTAAGCTCTTGTCTCTGTTACTACCATGAACTCACAACTGGTCTCTCC